ATGCTAGTCACTTGCTAGTCATGCTAACGAAATGCTATTCACTTGTTAATCATGTTAGCGATATGCTAGTCACTTGCTAATAATGCTAGTGACATGCTAGTCACTTGTTAATCATGCTATAAACATGCTAGCATTTTGCTAGTATCATGTCAATCATGCTAGCAACATGCTAGTAACTTGCTAATCATGTTAACAACATGCTAGTAACTTGCTAATAATGCTAAAACATGCTAGTAAAATGCTAATCATGTTAGAAACATTCTAGCAACTTGTTAATCATGCTTGCAACATGTTAATAACTTGTTAATCATGCTAACAGAATGCTAGTGACATGTTAATCATGCTAGAAACATGCTAGTGAAATGCTAGTAACTTGCTAATCGTGCTTGCTAACTTCTTGCTTCTAGTAACTTGCTAGTAATGCTAGCAACATGTTAGGCACTTGCTAATAATGCTAGCAGCATGCTAGAAACATGCTAACGACATTCTAGTAACTTGCTAGTCATGCTAATGACATGTTAGTCACTTGCTAGTCATGTTAACGACATGTTAGTCACTTGCTAATAATGCTAGTGACATGCTAGTCACTTGCTAATCATGCTAGTGACATGCTAGTCACTTGCTAATCATGCTAGAAACATGCTAGCATTATACAAGTAACATGTCAATCATGCTAGCAAACATGCTAGTAATTTGTTAATCATGTTAACAACATGCTAGTAACTTGCTAATCATGCTAGTGACATGCTAGTCACTTGCTAATCATGCTAGAAACATGCTAGCATTATACAAGTAACATGTCAATCATGCTAGCAAACATGCTAGTAATTTGTTAATCATGTTAACAACATGCTAGTAACTTGCTAATCATGTTAAAACATGCTAGTAAAATGCTAATCATGCTAGAAACATGATAGTAACTTGTTACTCATGTTAGAATCATGTTAACAAAATGCTAGTAACTTGCTAATCATGCTAGCAAAATGCTAGCAACTTGTTAAACATGATAGAAACATGCTATCATTATGCTAGAAACGTGAATCACATTAGAATCATGCTAGTAACATGCTAATCATGTTAACACCATGCTAGTAACATGCTTATCATACTAACAACATGCTAATAAAATGCTAATCATGTTATAAACATGCTAGTAAACTTGCTAATCATGCTAACATCATGCTAGTAACATGCTGATCATGCTAGATTCATGGTAGCAACATGGTAGTAACTTGCTAATAATGCTAGCAACATGCTAACCATGTTATAGTAACATGTTTATCATGCTAGCAACATGCTAGTGAAATGCTAATTGTGCTAGCAACATGCTAGCAACATGCTAATCATGCTAAAAAAAATATGTTAACAACATGCTAGTAATGCTAGAAACAGCCTAGCAACCACCCCAGGTACCCTAGCAATGCGTTTTATACCTATCTGTTTTTCTAATAGACTGTATTGCCTTGAAAACATTTAAACTTTAATCTTTAAAACTATTTTAACTTTTAAACTACTCCAAACTGAAAACTTTCAGATTGCAAGCTTTTTAAACTACTTTTTCAAGCCAACTTAAAGTTTGTCTTCAATCTTTACTCATCTAGTTATAATGTGTTTTTTTTTTTTACATTTTAACATTTCAATCATACTGTCATGTGTTTATGTCTCATCTTTTCTTGACTTTATCAGCATTTTAATCCATCTTGTAGATGAGCTGGGAACTAAGGTTAATTTAAAGGGGAAGTCGTGGCCTAATGGTTATAGAGTCGGACTCGTAACCCAAAGGTTGCGGGTTCGAGTCTCGTACCGGCAGGGATTGTAGGTGGGGGGAGTGAATGTACAGCCTTCAATGTACATTCAATGTCTCTTCCACCCTCACCACGACTGAGGTGCCCTTGAGCAAGGCACCGAACCCCCAACTGCTCCCCGGGCGCCGCAGCATAAATGGATGCCCACTGCTCCGGGTGTGTTTTCACGGTGTGTGTGTGTGTGCACTGCTGTGTGTGTGCACTTAGGATGGGTTAAATGCAGAGCACTAATTCCTTTTCACTTAAAGTGGGAACTAAATGTCTTTTCCAACTTGAAATATACAGTTACAAAGAATTGTTCATTACACAGAATCTCATTGACCATAAGCATCACTTGGTCACTGAGTGTAGTTTGGGCTCCTCCTCAATGCATCCTGTAAATGTTGTCATACACTCTTAAAAATATAGGTGCTGCACAATGCCATAGAAGAACCTTTTTTGTCTAAGTTTTGCCTCTTTGTCGCCATCTCTGTTTGAAAACCTGGAACTGCAGCTGGGTGCGGAATTATCTAGCTTGCGTGGGTTGTGAGTCGGCACGGCTCCAGCGGATTAATCTAATGTTCTGAAGAGTATGTGTGGCAGTCAGTCACCGCGCCGGTATGGATATTTACTGTACTTCGCAATCACAGATTCTAGCCTACGTCTTGGAATATGACCCAAATAAGAATTTTCACCATATATTGCCATCTGAAGTAAGTAAGTAGACAAGTAAGTAACAAGTCTTCCACGTTTGTTCTGACCAACTGAGGAAAAAAGCATTACCATAAATCTTGCTAACAATGGTGATTAAATCTAAAGATCTGTTAGCTCATATCACATCAAACCGTTCAAATTATTATTATTGTTATACTTTATTCTCAAATGATTAATGTTAACAACATCAGCATTGCCTATAGTGTGTATCAGCGTGTAGATTTCAATTTCTGCACAGTCTAATCTAATTGTCATACTCTTCGAATTTCATATTAAGAAATTATTTTAACCCAAAAAGCAAATTATGCTCCTTTCGAACTGGTTTTCTTTAAAATACAAATCTTTGTAATCCCAGGCTATCTGTAATCAGAAGCACATTTATAACTGGAATATAATTTAATTTCATTCACATGTGTTTCATAAACACATAATCCTTTATGGATTACAATCCGCCATCAAAATGATACATTAAATTTTTCTGGCTGCTGTGAGAAAAGGCTATAAACGATCGGCCACCTGCAGGATCCTCACATGCGATAGCCTAGAAGCTGGGACAACTTCTTTATGTTTACAGACGTGACGTAATGACGCTAATTTAATGAGCTAAATGTATAGCCTATTACGTTGCAATGTTTACAAGCTTTACACGTTTTCCGCAGTTTGAAACACTGAATGAGCTTGTACATGAGACATTTCAGTTAGTTTGAATTTGGAATAATTTTAAAGTTGATACTTTGTTTATTAAAAAGTAACAAAGCACAAAACTTTTTGCAATTACTGGACAGCAAGTGCGCTTCAAATAATGTTCACGCATTAATAGAACACAGCATAGACCTAAGATCTTGTTAAGAAGAAGCCATATTATTAATGATTATAAACGAGAATTGTTAACGATATTGCCAATATCCACACAACTGACAGCTTTACCTGTTGTAGTTTGTTCAAGTTGTGAGCAAAATATATGCTGTTTTTCTGCACTTTCACTTCTAACGTCTCCATCATTTCGATCTCTCTCGCGCGGCACTGCTGAACTGCGTTTAGCAGACTGTGTGCGACAATGCTGCTGTGTGGCAGAGATGAGGCCTGTTTGAAACTATCAGGAAAAAAGGCATTACATGCAAATTTTTAAGTTATAACATGTAAATACATAGGCATAGTCGCCAGTGGCGACCTCAGCAAAATCTTAAATCGAAATTTGCGACCGTTTAAGAAGAAGCCATATTATTAATGATTATAAACGAGAATTGTTAACGATATTGCCAATATCCACACAACTGACAGCTTTACCTGTTGTAGTTTGTTCAAGTTGTGAGCAAAATATATGCTGTTTTTCTGCACTTTCACTTCTAACGTCTCCATCATTTCGATCTCTCTCGCGCGGCACTGCTGAACTGCGTTTAGCAGACTGTGTGCGACAATGCTGCTGTGTGGCAGAGATGAGGCCTGTTTGAAACTATCAGGAAAAAAGGCATTACATGCAAATTTTTAAGTTATAACATGTAAATACATAGGCATAGTCGCCAGTGGCGACCTCAGCAAAATCTTAAATCGAAATTTGCGACCGTTTTAGTCGCAGTTTGGAGCCCTGTATATATGACATTTATTATAATGGGTTTATGTGAAGACTGTTTTAAGTTCACTTAAATTAGAAGTTGCTATTTTTTAAAGTCTAATAATTGTTCAAATTGATAGCTCTCAATTATACTGTAATGTTGAATGGCTGTAGTCAGTGGTTAAATATTAGGAAAAAAATTACAATTTCCTAGAGACATCAGTAGTATTGGTGATACTCGCCTTCAGTCATAATAAAAGATGCCATTAAACAAATATTAAAAATATAATGTCTTTGTTGTTTCTACATTAATTTGAAGATTGAGTTTGAAATTATTGCAATATAAAAGTATATTTAAAAACTTTAGGTAGGATTAATCGTGATTAATTTCAGAAAAAATGTGCGATTGATTAGTAATTTTTTTTAATCGATTGACAGCACTAATATTTTGTAAATATTTTTTTTTTGTGTGTGTTTGTTTATTTGTCGTAATTTTGCAAATTTGTGCACTTTGGGACTGTGGACACTGGAAATAAACGACATCGCAATGACGTGCTATTGTGGCTGCACCATCGTTCCTGTGTTTTTCCAACCTTCCTCTTCACACCATACCAATATCTAGTGACTACTGAATTGTCCCTAGCAATAAATTTAATAAACCAGTTAAAATATATTTATATGCAAGCACTGTTTTTGTCATTCATCTGCAATGGGTCATACCACTGACATTACCTGATAAGTTAATAAATACACTAGAAAACTGCACTCTTTCAAGGATGAGCGTAAGTAAGAACATAAGGTATGTGTTTAGCACATACATAGTTTGTTGAATTATAAAGTTCACCCTCTTTAACTTAATGTTGTTAAAATGAATGTACAAACCAAACAGGCTTTTATGTGCCCGCTTATTTCAATATCAAACCTATACCCTTGACTACTCATGTCTCCAGGTTTTTGGGTGCTGCTGCAGATGAAGCCTGTCAGTTTGTGACTGGAATTGTGGGTAAAAACCCGTTACTCCTGAGAGAGCTGAATCTGAGTGAACAGAAGCTAGGAGACACACGAGTGAATCAGATCTCTGCTGTACTGCAGGATAAACACTGTAAACTCAACACACTGATGTGAGTATTCTTTTAATTTATTATTGCACATTTGAAGTATCTTAAAGAACTCATGTGACCAAAACACAATATTTCTAAGTATTCTCTAGATATAATCAATCAAGTACGTTGTGTTTGTAAATTCCCCCTCTCCTGTTTAATATTTTAGTCTGCGTAAGTGTGGTCTAACAGAGGAAAGCTGTTCAGCTCTCGCTACAGTCCTGAGATCAAACTCCAGTCTGAAAGAACTTGACCTGAGCAACAATAATCTGCAGGATTCAGGAGTGAAGAAACTCCAGAACGGATTAGAAAACACAAACTGCACACTGAAGAAACTCAGGTGAGTTCAGTGAACCACTCATTGATTTTAATAACAGCATTCTTTTTTTTGTTTAAAGTTAACCCTCTTGAGATGACTGAGGTCCTGGCACAATCACTTGGATTTTTTTCCTTATAACAGCATTTATGGTCATGCCAATAAAAAGAAGACATCATTTGAAAGGGTCTTCTTTTAATTGTGTTCACTCAACAAAAATACATAAAACAAACAAGGTGGTTTCTGTGACCTTATTTCTGAAACAGGATGGCTTTCACAACATGTTGCAGCAAAAACTCTGGCCTACATAATCCAGTACTCAAAAGTTTTGTGAAATAATGTTTATCTTACTGTCCTTAAAAAAAGATTTATTTTTACTCGCCAAGTTTAAATGTCTCAGATATAGGGCCCTATTTTAACGATCTAAGTGCATGGTCTAAAGCACACGGCGCAGGTGCACTCAAGCTGTGTCCGAATCCACTTTAGCTAGTTTAACGACGGGAAAAACGGTCGGCGTGCCCAGCGCATGATCTAAAAGGGTTGTCCCTATTCTCTTAATGAGTAATGGGTGTGTTTTGGGCATAACGTGCAATAAACCAATCAGTGTCTCATCTCCCATTCCCTTTAAGAGCCAGTTGTGCTCGTGCCATGGCAGATTTGCTATTTACACGGCAGAATTTGCAAGAACAAAGACTGAATGCTTCTCCAGAGAGCAGGGCCGGCGCCAAGGGGGGCTTTCGTGGGCTGTGCACCCCCTTTCAATTCTCCCCCCTCCTTGCTGAACGTGATTGTTTGCTAAAGTGAAACCGGAAAAACAGTGCCCATAAGAAAGCGATTGACTATCCATTATGACATGTAGGCACCGCATTGCACCGGGTGTATGATAGGGCCCATAGTGTACATACCTGTTATTACTGTAGCACAATTTGTGTTAAATGTAATGTAATGAAACTATTGCCAGTATGATGGTAAAAGTAATTGAAATTAGCACAAATGTCTCTGTGCAAATGTCTTTGTACTGTTCTGTACAAATGTCAGGGCATCTCCAGGATCCCAACAAAATTACTGTATATGATAAAGAAAGGCAAAGAAATGCTTCTGTAATATAATGAATTATGTATTGCCTCAATAATCAGAGAAAATAAATAATAATGGTATTTTTGAATACAGTTAATATTGCTGCAAAAAATCTCAAATGCATTTTGTGTTAAATCTCTTTTTGTTAGACTTTCAGACTGCAGTATCACTGAAGAAGGTTATAAAGCTCTGGCTTCAGCTCTGAGATCAAACCCTTCACACCTGATAGAGCTGGATCTCAGAGGAAATGATCCTGGACAATCAGGAGTGAAGCAGCTCAATGATTTACTACAGGATCCAAACTGTCAGCTGAAGACACTGAGGTGAGATGTGATGAAATAATACAAACTTAAATTATGTGCTGGTGAATTATTTATAGAAAAAAAAATTCACTAATGTAATTTGATGCATAAAAGTAAATACAACCATTTCACATATTTATCCATCAGATTTGGCTGCTGTTTTTCATTACTCCAAGTTTAATGGAGAACTGAACTGAATCCTGTTTCATCTTCTCTTCTGCAGGTTTTTGGGTCCTGCTGCAGATGAAGCCTGTCAGTATGTGAATAGAGTTCTGGGTGAAAACCTGTTACTCCTGAGAGAACTGAATCTGAGTGAACATGAACTAGGACTCTCAGGATTAATGAAAGTTGCTACGGTACTGCAGGACAAACACTGTAAACTCAAAATACTGATGTAAGTTTTATCATTATTATCACAATTTCAATACTTATGAACTTTCTGCTGGATGTTTTAAATATAGTTTAATACTTCTAACAACTAACTCTTTAGTATTTAACAAATATTTAGTTGAAACTGTAACTGAAACTGTTTTTTCTCTTAACACAGTCTGAATAACAGCGATATCACAGAAGAAGATTGTCGTTTATTGACTGCAGCTTTCAATTCAAACCCTTCAAATCTGACAGAGCTGAATCTGAGTCAGACTACACTCAAAAATTCAGTAATGAAGTTCTTCTCGACTCTGTTTAAGAATGAACAGTGTAGACTGAAAAAACTGAAGTAAGTAATTTAGTCAATGTGTTAAAAAAGGACAACTACTGAAATAATATTGTCATGTAAATCTCATTTTGGTGGACTAAAGTAATAAGAGACAAATCTACTAGTTGCATAATAGTATTTATGGCTTTTTTTCTCTCTGTTCTACAGGTTTAATTGCATCAGTATTACAGCAGAAGGTTGTGCCACTCTGACTTCAGCATTTAATTCAAACCCTTCAAACCTGATCGAGCTGGATCTGAGTGGAAATAAACTAGAAAACTCTGGAGTGACTGAAATCTCCACTCTACTGGAAAACTCTCAGTGCAGACTTCAGATACTCAGGTTTGAATTTGGTGAATTTAAAAATGAATCATTAATATATTTTACAATAGTAAAAAAAACATTAGTATGCTAAATTAATAATGTTTTATTTTTTTTGGTCTTCCTCTAGACTCTCAGACTGCAGTATCACTGAAGAAGGTTATCTAGCTCTGGCTTCAGCTCTGAGATCAAACCCTTCACACCTGATAGAGCTGGATCTCACAGGAAATGATCCTGGACCATCAGGAGTGAAGCAGCTCAGTGATTTACTACAGGATCCAGACTATTCACTGAAGACATTGAGGTGAGATGTGATGAAATAATACAAAAATAAATTATATGCAGTTGAATTATTAATAAAAATATTATTTCACAAATAAAGTCTGCTGCTCAAGATACAATTTCTTCATAAAGTTTAGTTGAATTGAATCCTGTTTCATCTTCTCTTCTGCAGGTTTTTGGGTCCTGCTGCAGATGAAGCCTGTCAGTATGTGACTGGAATTGTGGGTAAAAACTCGTTACTCCTGAGAGAACTGAATCTGAGTGAACATGAACTAGGAGACACACGAGTGAATCAGATCTCTGCTCTACTGCAGGATAAACACTGTAAACTCATCACACTGACGTGAGTATTTTTCATTTTCAGAATGCTGTCATTGCTGTTCTTTTCTGTGTTCTTTAAAGTGCTTGAAGAATAAGAACCATGATATAGATTTATCCTTCTGTTATTAGCTTTGTATTAGTATTGTAGCTGAAATCAACTGAAGATTGTTTCCTGTCTTTGTTTTCTTTCTCTGCAGGCTGAATAATAACAGTATTACAGCAGAAGGTTGTGCTGCTCTGACTTCAGCATTTAATTTAAATCCTTCAAACCTGATCGAGCTGGATCTGAGTGGAAATAAACTAGAAAACTCAGGAATGAAAAAGATCTGTCATCTGGTAGAAAACAAACAATGCAGATTAGAAAAGCTGAAGTGCGTATTGACATTAATCCAAATTACTATATGTTAATATACAATAATGTTCAATTTATTATTTTCATATAGTTTCACTTAGACTGGGGTTAATGTTCTGCATAACATCTGCTTTTGTGTTTGACTCAAGAATTAAGTTTTAAACACAGCATGTGGGTGAATGAATAATGATAAAATTTACTTTTTGGCAAATTATTAATTTATTAAGTTTTGATTATCAAGGATTTGGTTAATGCATCTATTTATAGATTATTTGGGAGAAAAGCTCACTAGATAAGCATACATTTTTGTTAGTTAGAAGTTCTTTATAAAGCTCAGTATCTGTATGATAAACTGTATCTCAACAAAGAAAACTATTATTTTCTGTTCTAGACTTTCAGACTGCAGTATCACTGAAGAAGGTTATAAAGCTCTGGCTTCAGCTCTGAGATCAAACCCTTCACACCTGATAGAGCTGGATCTCACAGGAAATGATCCTGGACCATCAGGAGTGAAGCAGCTCAATGATTTAATACAGGATGGGCGCTATAAATTGAACACCATCAGGTGGAGAAATCTTAACATATTTAAAAGTTGTACTTTAAAATGAACTTTCTGCAACCATGCTGCAGTGCTCCATCAATAATCAGTTGAGAAGTCATGTCTTCTTTTGATTATTTTTTTTAATCACATCACATACAATATGCAAGATTAGGAGCATTATATTACATTGTATTAACAGAACAGATGTGTGATTCTTCTGTAATTTTTAAAATATGTTCCACGTGAATAGCAAATTGACCCTAAAAAGTTACTGAACAGTATACTAAATACTATTTTTAAATACATTTATTTCATGCATGGATTGTGCCCTCTAGCGGCTGCATGTGGAGCACGATTAGCATCTTAGCTATATGGTCCACTAATGACCAATACAACCTGTCCTGTACACAGTTTTCATGGTTTCTTAAAGTATCTGAATTTCTTTTTCCAAATTGGCTAAACACCCTCTGACTAAGCTTTTACAGCAGCCACCCCCAAAACTCTCGAGGAGTGGAAACATAATGCCTCTTGTCCAAAAACCTAAATTCTTAATTCTCTTCTACATCCTGCAGGTTTCTGAAAAGTCCTGCTGCAGAGGAAGCGTGTGATTATCTCACTAAAGTTCTGGGTAAAAGTCCATTATTACTGACAGAGCTGGATCTGAGTGAAGATAAATTAGGAGACCTGGATGGAGAGAAACTCTCAGCTCTTTTGATGGACTCTCATAGCAAACTGGAGACAATGAAGTGAGTGAACATGATTTATACATTATAACTTCTGTTTATTCATTATAAAAGACTGTCAGTCACATCTGTGAGCAAAAATAAAGACCTAATGATCTGATGTGTGTTGAAAAAAATAATAATGCTGTTTTTCTGTTTAGGCTGAATAATTGTAAGTGGACAGAGAAAAGCTGTTCAGTTCTAACTACTGTTCTCTCCTCCAAAACCATCCTGAAAGAGATGAACCTGAACAACAGCCGTCTGCTGGACTCAGGAGTCAAAGAGATCTGTGAGGGACTGAAGAATCCTGTGTGTGAACTGAAGATACTCAAGTGAGTACATTTCACCAGCAGCTACACTGAACAAAATAACAATCATAATAATATGGTTTAACTAGATATTCTGTTTCCTCTGTCTTTTCCCTTTTGTTTTAATTGACAATTGAAATTTAATTTGTAGCATTTAGTTTTTTTATAATCTCTCAGACACTAATTTTAAGTGGCATTTAGGGAACTAGTTGACCACAACACACCCCCACACACACATACTGTATGTATATATAAAAAAATATGTATATAAGCACATAGCCGCATTACTTGAAAACTCATTGGATAATGCAATGTTCAATTATTATTTTCAGGCTAAGTAAGTGTGATCTAACAGATGAAAGCTGTTCAGCTCTTGCTTCGGTTCTCAGTTCAGACTCCAGCAGTCTGAAGGATCTTGACCTGAGCAATAATAATCTGCAGGATTCAGGAGTGAAGCTGCTCTCAGACGGGCTGAAAGAGAACTGTAAGCTAGAGAAGCTCTGGTGAGTTGCTGTGTAACTCTGGGCCTTTTGTTTGTTTAAATAGTTACTCATCAGTAAGCAATCATGTCAAAAAGTGTGTGTGTGTGTGTGTTTATATAGCATGTATACGCATGTATAAGCATTATTTTGTTATTGTAATGGCAGGAAGCAATTTTTTTTCTCACCTGAATATTTTCACAATGCTGTAGTTCAATTTTCACAATGTATTATGTGAAAAAATGTTGTAGTCATTCTGTAGTCAACATTTTGTCCTGTTGCACTGGTTGTCATGACAATGTCAGTTTAGGTTTATGACCGCTGCACATGAGAGCTCACTGACAGAACTAATCCAGTGCTACAAATAAGTACAACAGCATTCCACTGAAACATTCTGGCATGAATGAAAAAAAAAGAATAACATGCTTTACTTGTTTGAAAAAGTAAATCAGTTAATTTGTTGTTAATTTAAAAAGCACTGCATTACGTTACTCATTTATTTGAAAAAAGTAATCTGACATACAAGTAAACTTTCATTTCTTGAGTTTCTAGAATAATGAATTAATCACATAAATGTTCCATTTTCACCTCTGTTCTAGTCTTTCAGACTGCAGTATCACTGAAGAAGGTTATAAAGCTCTGGCTTCAGCTCTGAGATCAAACCCTTCACACCTGATAGAGCTGGATCTCAGAGGAAATGATCCTGGACAATCAGGAGTGAAGCAGCTCAATGATTTACTAGAGGATCCAGACTGTCAACTGAAGACACTGAGGTGAGATTACAATGTTCAGTGCATCAAGTGACCGACTGCTAAATTCAGAGTCAGACCTGATTTCACGCTTTGGCTGGCACTTA